CTAACCTAACGTATTTTAATTATGATATGATTGTAGGACGCAGAACGCAGGACGCAGAAAGTTGGGTCGACTTCAACTTTCGCGTCCTGCGTTCTGCGTCCTACAATCATATTATAATTAAAATACGTTAGGTTAGTTTCTAGTTTTGCGACTTGCAACCAGCGTTTTGCGTCTTATGGAGAATGGCCTTAAGGCGTCGTCTATAATACACGGAGTAAGAAGTAAGAGTAAGAAATTGACCAATCACAGTCGATTATTCTTCTCACATTCGACTGTGATTGGTCAATTTCTTAGGCCCGTCTTCAATACACGGAGTAAGAAGTAAGAGTAAGAAATTGACCAATCACAGTCGATTATTCTTCTCACATTTGACTGTGATTGGTCAATTTCTTACTCTTACTTCTTACTCCGTGCATTGTAGACGGGCCTTTACTCTTACTTCTTATTCCGTGTATTGTAGACGACGCCTCAAGGCCCGATTGGTCAATTTCTTCTTACTCCGTGTATTGTAGACGGGCCTTAAGACAGCGCATGGACTGCCTCTGTTCCCGAGGTGAGGCAGTTCATGCGATGTCAATGCGCAAGGGTTAAGCGGGGAGCACAAACTCTTGCATAACGCATAACACGTAATGCATAAGAATATGTACCAATCGAAGTTCTCCGTTTCTTTCCCTTCCATGTAATAGAGAATTCTGGTTGGTTCAATTTCTTATGCCTCATATGTTATGCGTTATGCAAGAGTCTGTGCTCCCCGCTTTATGATCATTTTAAGCGGGAAAAACTGTTTCTGTTGTTAGTAGCTATTATGCAAATAACCACATTTAACACAAAATGAAAGAACTCCAAATTTTTGTCGATGATGAATTATGGATTAACGTATCCGATGCGGAATTTGTAACAGCAATAACTGGCAGTAAGTATTATCGTGAAAAGCTTTCATTATGACCTCAAACTTCAAAGTTTCTTAAAAAAAACAGCAGTGTAATGTTTATTCTGTATGCTTAGAATTGTTTTTTTTTATGTATGTGGGGCAGATTTCATGCTTAGAACATTAAAGTTAAATTGTTTCTTTTTTAAAGTAGTTTCCATTTTTTGTAAAATGCCTTTAGTAATTAGCATCTTACTTTATTTTGATAGATGCTGAAGTTCTTAAACTTCTGGTAGACCGGGAAAGGGAGAGGCGAAATATGGCTATGATTGATGAACTTGAACATAACGAATTAAAAGAATCTGTAATCTGTGTAGATACACCTATAGCAAACGAAGCCAAGAAAGAATCTTATATTTGGCCAGATGAGGCAGTTCTTTTATTTCTGGAGATTTATTGAAATAAAGAGCCTACTTTTGCTTCAGGTCTGAAACGTCATAACAAAATGGGTAAAGGTGCAATAAAGTCGATCCTCTTAAAAATCGATGAAATTATGCTCATTCGACGCGTTTTTCCATAAAACGAAAGAATCTGGTAGAAAAAAGCGCCGCTCTGCCCCGCGAACCGAGATATTAAGCGTTAAAGTTCACGACTATTCAGGTTAGAATATCTGTCATATCGACTACGTGTAGTGCTACGAGTATGCCTTCTTCATGCTCTTTGACTTCATGTGCATGCGCTTGGTTTTGTTTCAGTCAGAGTGCACGAAATTTGAAATCAATGCTATAAAATAAATTAAACGTATGTAGTAGTGCTTAGACAGTGTCCGCTTGGAATATTTGTAACCCATGTAGACAGTGGGGTGTGTAGACAGTA